ATGTATGTATGTATGTATGTATGTATGTATGTATGTATGTATGTATGTATGTATGTATGTATGTATGTATGTATGTATGTATGTATGTATGTATGTATTTGTTTCTTACTGATAACTCAAAAACCCAGTACTTGCAGTTCTCCCTTTCTCCCCACACAGTCTGAGCGAGAAGAGCAACAAGAACAATATGTCTGGCGGGGTGAAGGCGCTGTTGTTTGTTCTGGTCCTTGCTCTTGTCGCTGTGGTGGTGCTGGCTGTGGTCATCGTACAGATCAGGGACGACAACAAAGACACTATGAAGGAGACATCAGACAAGAATAAAGGCGACAAGATTGATGAAGAGAAGCCTCCAAAAACTAGTATGATTAGTTTTCTTCGTTTTCTTTGTTTTATTCTTTAATTATTATCTAACAACCAGCTTGACAAAACTGCTGCTGTTTAAAAAAGCACTGTGACACTGGCACTGATTGGTAGCTTGAAAACTTTTTAAAAAAAGACCCTGTCCCCCTTTCCAACTAAAAATAAATTAAAAATCAACAGTTTTTTTGGAAATGACCTGTTAGTTTCTTAGCTGTCACTAAGCTGTATATGCTCCGATAAGACGAAAAGGGACGTAATTTTTTTATACTATTGTTGTCTACTGTATACTCTTCTTAACACCAGAGCTGTCGAGCGTTGAAAATATTATTAGACGTTGTCATAAGAGAAAATAATGCACGAGTCATATCCATACCGTATTAACAAATAAAATACTTTTAAGAACCATCTGTCATATATATTTGGGTTTTGCACAAACATTTATAAATCAAAACATGTTAAGATTTTAAAGAATTGTTAACAAAGACAGGTATAAAAAACACCCTCCTAAAAAACCCAACAACAAACAAAATGTCTTGTAAATGCTAGTGAAATTATTTAAATCAAGCTACCTATCTTTTGGAGAGAGTTATAAGTCTCTTGTAAAATGTTTTGAGGTGAAAGGAGGATTTTTGTTTAGCTTTAAAAAAAACTATATTTCTATTATACACTATTTACAGGTCGAGGATTTTGAAAAGCAAAAGTATGAAACATAAATACGTTGGAAAAAGAGATGCTCAAGTACAGGCTGCTTACGACCAAATGGCAGAGATAAAATATTTTGATGGATGAAAAGGCTGTTTTAACATAATGTTCAGTGTACAGGTGAACATAACACAATCATGCAAGAGGGCAGAACGAGCTACCATTAGAAATATAGCAAGAAAAAAGTGCTGAGTATCATAATGTCATAGTTGAAGTTATTGTCACTTTAGAACAATAAGGCAATGGGATACTAACACGTTCAATGAATTCTTTTCACGGTGTTTGGAAATTCCAGAACGTAATGGTAACCTCAGTTTATATAGCTTTACCTAAATCACCAGGGGCCACATGGTATAAGTTACATAAGCTTTATGAGTCTTACACACGCGCGTACACACACACACACACACACACACACACACACACAAAGACACACACTCATTCTCTCTCTCTCTTTCTCTCTCTCTCTCTCTCTCAGTTCTCTCTCACTATCTGTGTCTCTCTCTCTTTCTCTCTCTCCCTCTCTCTCTCTCTCTCTCTCTCTCACTCTCCCTCACACACAAACACACACACACAAACACAAACACACACACACACACACACACACACACTCACACTCACAAATGTTTTATGGCAAGAAAGATTTTATTTTTTCTTCATAGGTGACGAAATTTGCCTGACTCCAACATGTATTACAGCAGGTAATTTCTTATTACGAGCTGAGAACACGGTTATATCTCTACGTTACGATAACATCATTTATTATCTTCAAACCTTTGCACTATTATAAACGAAAATAAGTGCTAAAATAGATGAACATTGTCCCTCTCTCTCTCTCTCTCTCTCTCTCTCTCTCTCT